TTGTATTTGCTTTGATTCTTTTTTGTTGATTTTTTCTTAGATATTTGAAATACAACTTTATTCTGATTCTAAATGAAAAGGAATGGGAATGACAGTAATAAACAAGATTTCACCACTGAATATTGTGATGTGACTGTAGCAGTCTTATATTTGAAACTCAGGGAGGAAACAACTGCGTTCCAAAACAGCTAAATATGCAGGTCCAAAAAAATGAAGGGTTTTTTTTTAACTGCCACATTCACTCCAAAGCCCACTCATCTCCTTCAGCATCCCAAAGATTAAGCAATGTTCTGCTTAGCTATATAATAAAGTGGCAAACACGCTGCACCACTGACATCACAGGGCAGTTGCCTATAAAACTAGAATTCTGACTCTGGCCTCCAGCTTCACTTTCTCACAGGTTGTCATCTTCATCCGAGAGAGCAGTTGTCTGCTCAACCTCTAGATCGTGCTCATACTGCGCAGCCAGGGCTGGGTCCATGACCACCTTCGGCAGGGCCAGAGCAGGCATGGCGACGAAATCCAAGTTCGGGTCTCCGATCAGTTTTCTAACAAGCCAGAGGAAGGGCTTTTCAAAGTTGTAGTTACTTTTGGCAGAAATGTCATGGTACTGAAGATTCTTCTTTCCATGAAAGACAATTGATTTTGCCTTAACTTTTCTGTCCTTAATATCCACTTTGTTGCCACACAACACAATGGGGATGTTTTCACACACTCGCACCAGGTCTCTATGCCAGTTCGGCACATTCTTATAAGTAACTCTTGATGTTACATCAAACGTTATAATGGCACACTGAGCTTGGATATAATAGCCGTCTCTCAGTCCACCAAATTTCTCCTGACCAGCTGTGTCTCATACGTTGAACTTAATAGGCCCTCTGTTGGTATGGAACACAAGGGGATGGACCTCAACACCCAAGGCAGCTACATACTTCTTCTCAAATTCACCAGTCAGGTGACGTTTCACGAATGTAGTTTTTCCAGTACCACCATCTCCCACCAATATAAGTTTGAACTGAACTTGAGGTTTTCCTTGGGCAGCCATCGTGATGTTACTTCCAGAAGCGTCTCCATGCCCATCGGACTGAGGCTGTTGATATTTTGTTGAGGATTTTGCATCTATGTTCATCAGAGATATTGGCCTGTAATTTTATTTTGTGTGTGTTGTCTTTGGTTTTGGTATAAGGATGATGGTGGCCTTGTAAAACTGAGGAGGTATTCCCTCCTCTTCAATTTTTTGGGAATAGTTTGAGAAGGAGTGGCATTAAATTTTCTTTGAATCTTTGGTAGAATTCACTTGTGGTGACATCTGGTCCTAGACTTTTGGCTTTTTGCGGGGAAATTTTGATTACTGTTTCAATGTCTGAACTGGTGATCAGTCTATTTAGATTTTCTATTCATGATCCAGTCTTGGGAGATTGTATGATTCTTAGAATTTGTCCAGTTCTTTTAGGTTGTCCAATTTGTTGTTGTATAGCTGTTGATAATTGTCTGTTATAAGCCTTTGTATTTCCATGATGTCTGTTGTTGCTTATCACTTTTATATCTGATTTTTATTTATCAGAGCATTCTTTCTTCCTGAATGAGTCTAGCTAAAGTTTTGTCAACTTTGTTTATCCTTTCAAAGAACCAGTTCTTAGTTTCATGATCTTTTCTATAGTCCTTTTAGTCTTCATTTATTTCTGCTCTAATTTTTATTAATTCCTTTCTTCTACTGACTTTGAGCTTCATGTGTTCTCCTTTTTGTAGTTTGTTTAGATAGAAGGTTAGATTGTTTGAGATTTTTCTTGTTTCTTGAAGTAGGCTTGTATTGGCATAAATTTCCATCTTAGTACCACCTTTCCTGTATCCTGTAGATTTATGTCATATTTTCATTTTCATTTGTCTTCAGATAATTTTTATTTCTCCTTGGATTTCTTCATTGACCCAATAGTTGTTTAGTAGCATGTTGTTCAGTCTCCACATATTTGTCGCTTTTCCAGCTTTCTTCCTGTAGCTGATTTCTAGTTTTGTATCATTGTGATCAGAAAAGATGCTTGATAAGACTTCGATCTTCTTGAGTTTATTGACCTCGTGTCCCAGCATATGGTCTATCCTTGAGAAATTTCCATGTGCGCCTGAGAAGAATGTGCATCATGCTGCATTTGGTTGGAATGTCCTGTGCAAATCTGTCAAATCCATCTGATCTAATGTTTCATTTAAGGCTGCTGTTTACTTTTTGGGCTTTGTGTCTGACTGATCTATCCTCTCATGTAAGTAGTGGGTTAAGTAGTTACTATTTTTGTGGTGTTGTCAATTTCTCCCTGTAGGCCTGTTAATAATTGTTTTAATTGTTAACAATAATTATTTTGGTGCTTCGATCTTGGGTATATATATATATACCTATATATATATATATATTAATTATTATTATGTCTTCTTGCTGAATTGTCCCCTTTATCATTATGTATTGTCCATCTTTGTCTCTTGTTACCATTTTTGACTTGAGGTCTGTTTTGTCTGATGAGTGTGGTGACACTCACTTTTCTGGCTGCCATTTGCCTGGAGTATCATCCCTTCACCTTAAACCTATGTCTATCTTTAGAGCTGAGGTGAGTCTCTTGGAGGCAGCATATAGTTGGGTCTTCTTGTTTAATCCATCCAGCTATCTATGATTGATACTTTTCAATTCTCTATTAATCATATCACAATGTTTCATGACTTTAAGTTTTGTTTCCGGAGTATTGCCATTTTCTTTCGTGGTAGTGTTACTGTGGTTCTTCATGGTTCTTGATGAGTGGTTCCTCTCTGGGTGCAGCAGAAGCAGCAACAGGTTAAAAATTAGAGGTCTTTCTTTTGTTTTCCAGTAGGTGGTGTTATAGCACAAGTTTTTGGTTTTTGCTTGAGCTCCCTCTGGTTACATTTGCAGTGGGCACTTTTTACCCTCCACTTTCTCTGTGAGGAATGTGGCTTCATGGCTTCTTTATCACTTCTTGTGCCTCTAGGTTTCTTGTTGCCATCCTTCTGCCATTGCCACTCTCCTTGCCACCTAGTGCACCAAGGTGGTGGGCTCTTCCCACATGTCTAGGCATTGCAGGTTCTGCTGCTATTGGGGGCAGGGAAGGAGGGCGGAACCAGGGTCCTGTGCGTGCCTCTCCTGTATCTAATACTGTAAGATTCACAGACTCTGCCACTGAG